AAAGAGTTATTCCACCAGAAAGGTGGAATAACTCTTTTTTTTTTCCCACTTTTACCCGATGTATTACACCATCCAGCTGCCATGCACGTGGGCATTGTTTAACTATAGCTTTGGTGAATTTCAATGGTGAAGTCCTCTGGAAATCTTCAATAATTGTTGTTGATTGCAGATGTGTCGCAATCAGCAACCCATTGATTTTTCATGTAAAGCGGGGAGAACTGCGTTAGGCTTACCGCACCGTGACGTCACTGCTGGAAGATGTCGGAGTGAGGTGTTACTATATTTGGGCAAAAATGGCCGCCCCCAGACTCAGTGATCACAACGAAATTTATTGTTTTGTTGTTTTTTTACTGATTAACGGTAAATTCATTAAATCACCATGAACATATTAGTTTTATGTATAAAAAAATTATCCATTGATTATTCCTTGCTGACCGGACTTTTCCTTTGAGCTATTGAGAGTTAATTTCAAGTGAATTATTTTTTTAACAACCCTAGTAGGAACTTTAGTGTTTTTGGGTTTGTTAAAGCGGGTCTGTAAAACTTAGAGGTTTTATAGTTATTTTACACATGTCTGAACAGCTGTTAGCTCTTGGCTTGACTCCTCCATGAGAGTGTTTTCCAAACTGATCTCCCTTCCTATGCATGTCTACTGCAGGGAATGAACTGATCCTCGTTGCTACAGCATGGAGCTGGCTCTGTGTGGCTCATTTAATGGCAGCTTTTCACCTCTCTGGAGCTGCTAAAGCGACATAACATTCTCAGTGCAACCTTCAAAAAATCACTCTAATCAACATTTCTGTGTTATTCCTGCACCCCTCAGCAGGACAACTTACTGGCATGAATTATTAGAGCCCCGGGTGTCAATGTTGTCCAGCAATTCAGAACATATCCAGACACACTGTTTTAAAGCTGCTGCTGTCTTTCCAGAGGCATCATGTTGCCCTGATTCAGAGCAGAGCCCAGGCCCCTCCACAGCTGCTAATAATTCATTTATGCCTCAGATCCTCTCAGCACCATTCCTGTGATAAACTGGAATAGCTTAGCGCCTGATAAGCAGGGCTCCCTGTTCTTGTGCTGTTCTCAATGCTAATATATTTTGGATTTAGCTTCTGGGGAACATCACGTGTCAGCCTGAACATCCCACCTTCACCAACCGAGCATGCACTAACTGCATGATGCCTACAGGCAAAGCAAACACATCTGTGGAGAAGAAATTGCTTTAAGGGTTAAAAAAAAAAAGTCATAATTGTTTTCTTCTTAATTGCTTTTTGTTTAAGCGTTGTTAATCTCCTGGTTGTAAGTCAGTAATTAGGGAACAGAAGAGCAATTGTTCACACGCAGGCTAATTATTGTTTGTACGGTAATGGCTCCTGCAAATCAATCGGCTTCCCTCTCTTTCACAAACAGACGTGTAAGATTTTTTTCTA